AAGGAAGGAAGGAAGGAAGGAAGGAAGGAAGGAAGGAAGGAAGGAAGGGAGGGAGGGAGGGAGGGAGGGAAGGAAGGAAGGAAGGAAGGAAGGAAGGAAGGAAGGAAGGAAAGGAAGGAAGGGAGGAAGGAAGGAAGGAAGGAAGGAAGGAAAGGCAGGTAGGCTGAAGTAACTTTGAGTCGGTCAGAATCGAACTGCTAGCAGTTGGCAGAATTAGCCTGCAATACTGCACTCTAACCACTGTGCCACCAGGGCTCCTCAGCCAAGGGAAACAGCCAAGCCTCGTCATTGTTATGGGGGGTTAAGGCCTTTGGGGGCAGAAGAGCTGAATCCCCGTCACTTACGGGTGTTGATTTTCTGCAGAGAAATGTGCTTTTCCAGTTGGCGCCTCAGTTTCACCTCTGCCCCATATTTGCCCAGGGTGCCATTGTCGGCGAGGATGAAGTGCGTATGGGAGCTGTTCAGCACGCAAAGTTTGCTGAGTGGGTTTGACATCGTCTGATAAAGCTTCGTCACCTGTCAAGCAGACAAAGGTGGTTTGAGTTTAGCGGAGAGCCCCACGTCCCAACCCACAGCGGTGCCATTGTCTCTGGCTGTCACCGAAATTGAACAGGGAGTGCCACTGTGCAGGTCTCTGCCATCCACAGATGATTTCCCAGGAGGAAGAATGCCAATTAATAGGAAGCTTTAACGAGAACGTCATCAGCCAGCCAAAGATAAATTCCCAGGCAGATGGCAGTTTGCATCCCCCGCTGGATAAAGTGGCCAGATGCAAAGAAAGGGGGCGGATTTGCAGCATCTGCTGGCAGGAGCCAAGATGGGGCTGTCAACATGAAATCCACCACATAGGTCGTGGCAGCCCAAAGCTTGGGAGGCATTAATTTAATTCTAGCATCCGTTGCAGCCTGGTTTCTTCGAGCAAATAAATAAAAGTTTTTTCTGAATCAAGGCCATTTCTGGTGGAGGACACTTCCTGAAGGCATCAGGGTGAAAACGTTCAGGGGGATTCTGGTTAATTCTGAAAAAGGAAGCAGAGGCTTTCCCATCTCCAATTTGTGCCCCCGTGAGAAGAAGGAAGGGAAAATCCTACAGCCGGCTTTGATTCATTCAACGCGAAGCTAGGAGTTAGCCCTGCCTCCAAACTGAATGAGAAAACAACAGCCAAATGGAGGCTAAGCACCGAGCAGGGACTAAAAACGAGGTAACCGACCTGTGAGTTAAAATGACAGGTGGGCGGAAACAACAAACGCTAAGATTTTTTGTCTAAGGATCCGCTGAAGGAACTCAGACGTGTCCTTGGGGCCTCCTTAAAAGCAAGCAAGGGAAGGTGGAGCTGATGACACCTGGGAGGAGGCCATCCGGATCTGGAGCTCTTCAATCAAATCTCTCTTGCAAGTGGTTTGGGATTGGGAGAAAAGCTTTAGAAGATGAGATGAGGTGGACTGTAAAACTTTGCAATAATGATATGCATGCTAATTTGGGGTAAGGAAAGCACGAGGGAGGCTTCCAGCCCCCCCCCCCCAACCAAATGAAACCAAAACCAATCAAATCAAAAAAAAACAGATCGATCACTTCCTTACTTCAATAACTTATTTTCCAGTAAAAAAAAAAAAAATGGAACTGTAATAGAGAAATACGGGCAGTTACAAATGAAAGAGAGCAAGAAGCTGGATGTTAATCAAGGTGGAAAGAGGGGGAGAAAACTTGGTTAAAAACTCCCCAGAAGTGCAGGACAGGCTCACATCTTTCCCAAGTAGATCTTCCTTGTTTTCCACAATGCCCCACGGGGCAATGCCAACAGCAAAGATGCGTCCTCTGGACTTGGAAGAGTGGTCTTTCAGGGCATCTCCAACATGGCGAATGATTCCTGCACAAGGGAGGAGACCAGTGGATTAGCATCTTCCCTGGGTTGCTTGCATGCAACTTAAAGGCCTCCATTAAAGGCCCCCGTTCCTTTCCCATGGATTAAGATAGTCCCATTAGGACCTAAACTGGATGTCTTCTTGAATGGCCAGGTGGAAAACTGGCTTCACAATGAGGATATCCTTCTGCAGTTTCTCTGGGAGGGTCAATCACCCACAACGTTTAGAAGTTCAGCATAGCCTATCTCAAGCTCATTGCTTTGTTTGGCCTTCCAGCAAGCCCTAGTCATGACTCATCCCCAGTGCAATAGTTACCGTAGTACTGTAGTCCTTCAAGGCACACAATGCTTCTTTGTCTTCCACCCACACAAACACACCCTGCTAGAAAGCAGGGCCTTGGTCTCAGCCAGCTTCTTGAAAGAGATCTCCCAGAGGACTTCCAAGGGGACGGACAGCTGACCCTTAGATACCTGTACTGACTCCTCCTGTGAAAATCCAGGCCCCGGTGGTCATGGCAGCCTTGATGAGGCCCTTCCCAAACACTTGTTTAAGTTTGGGCTGTAGCTCAAAGTTCTGGAGGCCTCCATGGACGGATATTAAGAGCTTGGGGAGTTCTAGTTGCCAGTCCCTCACCATGAGTTGGAGCAGCAAATCTGGCTTGGTGTCATAGGACACTCGGATGTACTGCATGATAAAAGGACACAAAAACGTTGTTGGATCTGGTCAACATCCCAGTTAGCTCCACTCCCATTTTGGCTTCCTTTCTGGCAAACCCGTTTGGTGGGGAAACAGTTTTAGCCTACTGTAGACTTGGGGTTTTGTTTTCCAGATGTAGTTTATGGATTCCTGCCATGTGTAGGAGGAGGAATGGCAGAATCTAGTGGTAGAGTTAAAAGAGGGATCAATCTAGAATCCCTACATAGCCACAAAGCAGACTAAGCCCAACTTCCCTTCAATTCCGTTTCCCCTTATCGAACTCCTAGCAGATGCTATCCATTAGTTGAGAAGATTCCTGTGCACTGACTTTCAGCAATGAATCAGTTTAATTGGACCTTTGTGCGTGGATCTGGTCTTTTTCATCTGACACCAGTCAGATGAAACCAGACACTAAGCCTATCACCAGTGGCACATTTTATGTCATGAACACAATTGGACTCTTGGACTCTTGGATTGCCTTCAGATTTCCCCAAAGGTCCCTTCTCTACCTTGGTTTCCAAGTTGGCTTGGGTGGAAACCTTAGTATTGCCTAAGGACCAATGTCCTTAGGGCTCCCTAGCAGAAGGTCACTGAGGGTCACCTTCAAAAGCCATCCTCTGTCTGAAGAATGAACCCTTCTTACTTACCATGGACTTATTGATATGACCTCCACCTTGGAACTCGAGGTTCCCAAAGGCATCAGTGGGGAGGGCTTGGGTGTGTTTACTGATGGACCATTTTTCTGGCTGAGCCTCTAACTGCTTTGTTGGGTCTTCTCCATCCTTGTTTGCGGTTTCGACCGGAATGGGGATGTGTTGAAGAAGGAGTTGACCACAGCAGCACCTGTGGCCAAAGCAAAACAGAGACATCAAACCAGGCCCAGTGGCTGGCATTTAACCACTTTTCTTCCTTCTGCTGTCTGGGGTTGTTACCCACCTGAAGATGCCCTTCACATCAGTTCTTTAAAAAAAACAAAATCATGTGATTACAAAGAATTGCCAGTGCAAACACCAAGACAGAAGGAAAGTCACCTGGTAGCATCTTTGCTGTTGACAATTATGCGGCTGCATTCTCTCTTGAAAAAAGTCTTCTCTATCCAAGCTTTTTGACCCTGTGGGGTGAAAACGGAGAAGCAATTCTGTCTAGGTATGGAAATTGAAACCAGGAGAAAGGAAAAGAAAGGAACATCCCTTTGGAGGGGACAACTTTAGACAACGCTAGAGCAGGGGTCTCCCACCTTGGCAACTTTAAGCCTGGTGGACTTCAATTCCCAGAATTCCCCAGCCAGCTTTGAGGACTTCAGTTCCCAGAATCCCCCAGCCAGCTTTGAGGACTTCAGTTCCCAGAATTCCCCAGCCAGCTTTGAGGACTTCAGTTCCCAGAATCCCCCAGCCAGCTTTGAGGACTTCAGTTCCCAGAATTCCCCAGCCAGCTGGCTGGGGAATTCTGGGAGTTGAAGTCCTCCAGGCTTAAAGTTGGAGTTGAAGTCCTCCAGGCTTAAAGTTGCCAAGGTGGGAGACCCCTGTGCTAGAGGGCACTCAAAACATTGAGAAAATGATCGGCAGTCCTTGGTTTACAACCATTCATTTAGCGACTATTCAGTTACAATGGCACTGGAAAAAAAGTGACTGTTGACCCAGTCCTCCCAATATATGACAGCATGTGATCAAAATTCGGGTGCTTGGCGACTAGCTTGCATTTTATGATGTTGCAGTGAGAGTCATGTGACTATCACCTCAAACTTCACAGCTGGTTTCCGAAAAGCAAAGCCAAAGAGGGAAGCCAGATTTGCTTAACGGAGCATAGATCCTTTCTTTATTTAGTCCCTTTCTCTATTGCTTCCTCTTGAAAGAAACCTCCAGGGGAAGCATTTACCCTCTATTTACCAGCCTGCTTGAAATGGCTACTGAAGGAACCACATTTCGAAGGTTCACCCAACATTGAAATGTAAAAGAATCAAACTGTCAGGGTTTCCACTTTATATTAAGCCACCAAAATAAAATAAAAATAATGGAACCAAACTCAGTTCAGAAACAGCATGCTTTGTAAAAGTATATTTTTAAGCAACTTAAAATTAAAGCTTATTCTTTGAACATTTCCACGCATTAGCCAAGTTTTTACATTAACCCAAATAAAACTGCTTAACATTAATCTCTCTCTCTCTCTCTCTCTCTACCCATCCATCCAACATCTCTATTATCTGTATCTATCCATCATCTCTATCTATCATATCTATCTATCTATCTATCTATCTATCTATCTATCTATCTATCTAT